CACGTGGGCCAGTTTGAATCTGGGTGCACTTATCTGTATCGAGTGTTCTGGCATCCACCGGAACCTGGGCACGCACCTGTCCCGCGTGCGTTCGCTGGACTTGGACGACTGGCCGCGGGAGCTAACCCTGGTGCTCACGGCTATTGGCAACGACACGGCCAACCGCGTGTGGGAGAGCGACACTCGGGGCCGTGCCAAGCCCACGCGGGACTCTTCGCGGTAAGGACAGCGGGCCAGTGTGGAGGGTGCACAGTCCCTGCGAGGTCCCGATTAGAGAGAGGCATCCTACAACTCTTTCCCCTGGTCCCTGGTACTGCAGGGAGGAACGTGAGTCGTGGATTCGCGCCAAGTACGAGCAGCTGCTGTTCCTGGCGCCTCTGGGTACCACGGAGGAGCCGCTGGGCCGTCAGCTGTGGGCCGCTGTACAGGCCCAGGACGTGGCCACCGTTCTGCTGCTTCTGGCCCACGCGCGACATGGGCCACTCGACACCAGCGTGGAGGACCCGCAGCTCCGCTCGCCGCTGCACTTGGCCGCCGAGCTCGCCCACGTCGTCATCACGCAGCTGCTGTTGTGGGTACGTGAGCGAGCGGAGAGGTAGGGGAAGGGAGCCGGGAGCTGGGCTTGGAGGTGTAGCAGAGCGGGAGGCGTGCGGGGGGGCGCGGTCCCCCGGGGGGCGCTTGGTCACAAGGCCTTTCCTCCCGCAGTACGGCGCGGACGTGGCGGCCCGTGACGCGGAGGGCCGCACGGCACTGTTCTACGCCCGCCAGGCCGGCAGCCAGCTGTGCGCTGACATCCTCCTGCAGCACGGCTGCCCGGGAGAGGGCGGCAGCACGGCCACCACCCCCAGTGCGGCCACCACCCCCAGCATCACCGCCACGCCCAGCCCGAGACGCCGGAGCAGCGCTGCAAGTTTGGGCCGCGTGGACGCCACGATCGCGCTGGTATAGTTGCCCAGCACCGGGAGAGACACTCCCCACCCCCGCGCGGGCCGGGCACGACCACACCGGGTGGACCGCTGGACAGATGCACCCATTCACCTCTCCAGTCTGCACCCCGTCCCACGGGAGCACTTCCTACCCCCACCAGGGCACAGCCCCACACGCCTCCCAGGAGACACAAACTCACCTTCCTCTCCCCAGCGAGGCATGGAGACCCTAGCTCAACACGCCCTACTCCACAGTTTCCACACTTGGATTGCCCTGGGTCTGTCTACCTGCTGCCCTTAGCTGTACCTGCAGCTCCAGGGCGCTCGGACTGGCTATCTCGTGCCCCCTAGGGGCCGGTAAAAGATCCGGTCCTGCCTGCGTTCTACAATCTGGTGGCCGGAGCCCAAACCCAGGCTGGCTCCTGGGGCAACGCCACGCCAGAGGGAGGGGTTAGTAGGTGGAGGACTAGCCCTGGGACTTGGGACCAATATGGGAACCCCGCCCCTTCCATGATGATCTCACTGCCCAGTGAGGGGGAAGGGCAGCGAGGGGCAGGACCCCTGCTGCCCGTGGAGGTGGAGGGGTCCCCAACCCTTTCTGTGAAAGGGACCATGAGGAGTGGAAATCTGATATTCCCCCTCTGCCTATCTATGAACGGAAGCTAAAGAGCCAGGGGGAGCCGCGAGCCTGGGTCCTCCCCCTTACGATCTCGGGGTGGGGGAGGATTGGAACAGGAGGGGCTAGAGAGGGGCCTTGTAATTTATTGCTTTGTTCCCCAACATGGGGATGGGGTGGGTAGGGGCGAGGGGAGGGCATTTCAGGGTAGGGGAAGCCAAGGGTGGGCAGGGGTGGGGTTGGGGTGGGGGTGCTCTCGGGTTGTGTCTGTGACCGTGACTGCGTACCTGTGACTGTGCCGCGCCCGTGGTGATCTGGGATAGGGGGCACCCCTACAACGGGGCCCCTCCCCATAACCCTTTCTGTCCAGCCCCTCTCTCACTGGAACAGTTGCAGATCTGTTTCTCTTATCTTTTGCTCCCTCCCAGCCAGGGCTGAGAGGGTGTGCAGTGGCTGGGAGGGTGTGTTAAGGTCCTGGCCCCATCCCCAGAAGGGGGAGGTGGGATGGACTCGCCTAGCCCAGCCCTGCCTCCTTTAGTCAACCCAGGCTCTGGGCCATCTGTGTCAGTGGTTTCTGGTCCTTTTTTTCTTTTCTTTTTTCCTGGCTAAAATATTTTGCAAAAGACCAGGTAATCGGGGAGTGGAGTGAGGAGGGGGCAGGGGTTGCCCCCTCACCTCCAAAGCAGGTGATGTGAACCTTAACAGCAATTAAAGAGGAAGTGATTTTGTCTAGGGGGTGAGCTGTTGGTCTGTTATTGAGGAGGCAGGTGAAGGTATGGCCCTGGTGGACAGGTGGACGTTGGTTGGGGAACTGGAGACAGGGAAGGACCAGGCAGAGGTCCCTTCTGAGCTGGGGTTAGGACAGTACCCACAGGCACAGAGTTAGGGTTCAGGTTTGTACAACAACCCTGGGTTTGTGAGGTAGGCGCAATGGTGGAGTCCGAGAACAGACATTAGATGCACAATTGATGGAAACTGGGTAAAGAGTTGGAGTGTGGTGTGTGGAGAGACAGACAGGCCTGGGGAGTTGAGGGCTGAAAAGACGGGGCTATTTTGGTTCAAGAATGGGGTTTAGTTTTGAAACCTGGCCCACTGTTGCCTAGCTAGGAGACGTTGGGCAGTGGCCTCAGAGATGTGGAGAGGGAACCTGTAAGTGCTGTGATCCTAGGGAAGGTGCTGCCCAGGTTAGCCTGATTTTCTTGATCTCTACACATCAGAGCTAATGGGACTGCAGGGGTAAGAGGTTTCCCAACCATTTGCAGTTCCCTGATGTCCACAAGACACATGCCAGCTGATGTAGGAATTTGCCCACTTTTATTTCAGGGTCATCACAGGTCATTGTGTGCTAGCCACAGTACCACAGCTTAAGTAGTCAACCCTGCTGGATTGTGTGTGTGTGTGCGTGCGCGCGCGTGTGTGTAAGTTATAAGCATCAGGCCTGACAAAGGCTAGGCTAGTAACTAATGTAGGTTGGGCCTCCATGTGTTCTCTATCTTAAGGAATCAGCTGGTGGTTTTAGTGTCTTTGGGTAGAGGTGATGCTAACCTCTGGTGTCTTATAAAGTTTTCATCTGTAGATGTGTCAGGGAATTGATAAGGTCTGAGCCCCAGGCTGGGTGATCACCTCACAACATCTGGTGGCCCAGGGAGGCATGGACTTGAGAACAGGAACAGGTGCAGGTGGAGTTGTGTGGTCTGGGCAAAGACAGGCGGTGGCAGGTGCCAAAGCCTGTCAACTGACACCCTTGGTCTCTTATCATCATCGCTGTCATTCCTCATGGCAAAACCTGACATCACAGCCTTCCTCAGAAGCTCAGGGTGTTAGGTGTGGGGAGGAACAAGGACCCTGGACACAATTTAGTCATTTGTCAGGGGGTCTGAAGGCCACCCAAAAAATGGTCAGGATGTCGGCAAACTCTACAGCCAGGGAATGGATTTAATGGGTTGCATTAGTCCTGTGGGATGGGGGAGAGAGTGACAGAATTTCAAGCCTTCCAGGCTGTGGCGGAATAGGAAGGAAACCCCTGGTCGGGTATAGGCTAGCAGCTGCTGCTTGTCCTTTCTGGATGCCCTCGGCCGCACACATGCTGTTCTACTCCTTTTGTTTGCCTTAGCACAGCTGAGACTGAATGACCTTCATGGGAACTCTGCCGAAAGTCAAACGAAAGGAAGAGGGAGCCTGCTGGAATGCACCGAGGGTTCCATGTTTTCTGAACAAGCTGAAGCATCAGATACCCTTCCTTTCCAGTCCAAGGGTGTCTCATGGGACTGGGCAGAAGCTTTTAGGGTCCTCTAAAACTTCCTCCACGTCCTCATCCCTTCAGAGCTCAGACACTGGTTTGTAAGTGTCTTATGCAAAGACTGTAACCCCCCTATCCTCATTACTGCCCCCTGGAGGCCAGTGCCTGGCCAGCATCAGAAGAGAAATCACTTAAGGCTCTGCTAACAAGACAGCGAGCGCCTAAGTTCTCACACAGCTGCACCATCTGTCTCCTCGAGAGATTCATAGGGATGTGGGAAGCTGGACTTGTCTGCATTTCAAAACAATTTAAGCATAACACACACAGTCAGCACTCATCCTCTTCAGCAAAGAAGAGGGCTAGCCCCATGAGTTCCTTCAATAATCAGAGCTTGTCTTAAGTCCCTTTCCTATTGAGAGCCCCCTTTGTTGCCAGCAGGAGTTACATACCTCCCGTCTGGGGACCCAAAGGAGAAATTTTACCTTTGTTGTACCGAGGCTCCTCTACCCTGGGAGAGAAAACGGGGTAAGCCCATTGCTGTCCTTGGCAATCGGGAAGAGATGGAGACAGATACCAGGCCACCTGCCTCTGTAGTGCCTGGCACGTAGGCAGCAGCTTCCCTGTCATGGCTGTAGGTAGGGTTTCCCATGGTAAATAATGGGGTGCGGGGCAGACCGTCAAGGGGAGTGGGGCATGCTACAGGACAGAAGACGCCCTGTGTGGGCCTGGGAGGCCTCTGTAGTACACATTTGGGCTTTCAGGATGTAAAGAGGGGAGGATTGGGGAAGCTGGCTACTGCTTAAGTGAACCAACTGGCTGGATGCAGCCCAGCAGTACAGTGCTTACCTAGCGCAAGCAAGACCCTGGGGTCCCCCAATGTCATAATTTCCTTCCCAGAAGCGAGGGATAAGAACAGATGAGGAGAGAAAGAATCAAAAGCCCCCTGTAGCTTTGCCACAGCTTTTAGGACCCTCTAAGACTTGCCTCAAGTTTCTCATCCACTCAGAGCTGGTCTATAAGATAACTGCTGTTCTGTGTGAACAGCAAGACTCTGGAGGCCAGGGCCTGGTCAGTTCACCAAGAAGAGAGCCACAACTCTCCAGACTGGTGGGCTTTGTTCATCGGATGCTCTCTGGGGGTGGGTATAGCACACAGGAGCAGAGGACATGTCCCCCATCCTGCAAAGACCAACCAAACCTCTCCCCACAAGGCCGATGCATTGGTGGTCCAGTTCTTTATTCAGAAACCTGAAGTACATGGGTGGCTTCATAGCAACCCTTTCGCTGGGATTGTGTGTGAGGTGACATGTAAGGTCTCCTATTCCCTCAGTGATAGAGGTAAGGGTTCTGACTCAGAAGCACAGATAACGGGACAGTGGGAACAGGGAGGAGGGAATCCAAGGGAGGGCAAGCAGCTCCCAACAGCAACAGCAACAGCGCATCGGGCTGGGGTGGGGAGGGCTGGGAAGGGGTGGGTTGCTGGGACCTGCTTTCTTGGAGTCTGATAAACTGTCCAGTTCGCCTGCTTTTCCCCCCCATGCCCCACTCACAAGATCTTATGACGCCTCTGGGGTAATGCTAAGAAGTCAGGGGGCAGGAAAAGCCAAAGAGAGGAAGAAAGGCATGTTGGAGGGTGTTGGGGGTGGAGTTCACAGGCCTGGCTGAGGTCTAAGGGTGGCTCTGGAACCGAAACAGCTCTCCCTCGTTGCCCCACCCCCAAACCTCTGAGCTGGTCCCTTGAAGTCCAGAGCTTGGCTCCAACCTGCCCATTTGCCAGGGAGGGCGGGCAAGATAGGAGAGGAGGAGGAGGCGGAGCCAGTCAGGAAGATTCTGGAATCCTTGGAAGGCCCGACAGCGCTGGTTTCAGAAATCAAACTCATCCCTGTCCCCAGCGTCCTCACCGCCTGGAGAGCCCCACACTCGGCGGTAATTGCTCTCCAGGTCTTTCTGTCTCTGGCGCTCTTTATTGGCCTCTTCCGCTCCCTGCACCTGGGAGGAAGTGGGGAGGGGCATTGAGCCGGAAGTGCTGCCTGTAGCCAAGGGAAGTCCTGTGCTGTAGGGTCTGGGGGTCCTGAGGCTGCGGTGCGGGTGCGAGGCAGGGGCTGGGGATATGATCTCCTATGGTAGTGACAGCTGAGGCTTAGCTTCACCTCAGACCGCAGGGTGGCTGGTCACGGTGTAACCTTGATTTCAGGAGCACAGAGGGGTGAGCTGGGGGCCCAGGACTTGGGTGGGATGCCTCGCTCACCAAGATATTGAAGAAGATCTCCTTCAGGTTCTTCGTGTCTTCGTCAGTCAGCCAGCGCGTGTCCTCCTCGTTACCTTCAGCCCCAGGCCGCACAATTTTGATCTCAATCTTCCCTGGGAGGAGCAACGTGGGTGGTGAGGAGGGGAAGGGCTGGGGGTTGCACAGGGTCCCCTGCCCTCCAGGTCCCAAGCCGGAGGTCACCAGTCCACCTTGACCCAGCCCTGCCACTCGTGTGGCAAGCCCTTCAGGGCCCACCTTGGGCCGCGAGCCCCTCCCTCTCCAGCAGCTCTTTCGCCAGCCCCTCGATCTGCTTCAGCTGCGGGTTTTCCCGGTTCATCTCCAGGACAGTCAGAGCCTGATTGGGGCCTCCGTGACGGAGCTTGGTGACTCGGACCCGGACTCTGTGTTCAGGCTCCTCCTCTTAGAGGGGAAGACACAGGGAGACACAAAGCAGAGCGTGTGACTCCAGGGTGAAGGGCTGTAGAGGTTGCTTCTCTAAGCCATGAGCTGGTTTGGATACTCTCCGTCCCATGAAATGTGATCCAGGGTTCAAAAACGTGCCCTTCCCCAACAGCAGCACACCCCCACCCCCACCCCGTAGCTCTCCCATCTTCTATAGGAAAACATCACTTTCTGATAGTTAGATCGAGCCACCTGCACCAACAAGGGCGTTTTGCTTTAGGAGGAGCTTGGTTTTCTCCATGCTGAGATCTAACAATCAGTGTTTACCAAAAAGGTGGGATGGAAGGGTTGAAACGGGAATGTTCTATTTGGAACACCTCTCTCCACCCCAGTACAACTCCAGGAAATGAACGAACGTGAAGAGATGCAAGAAGGGATAACTGAAGTGTTTGGGCTGGTGGCTCATGCCAGTGGGCTTTGCCCATTCACACTGGACAGCTGGGGCCTTTCCTGGCCCTGCTACACCTGCCACTGCTTGTCCATCTCCCACCATGCTTTGCTATGGAAACCCCAAAACTGTCTGTCTCCTTTTCCCCAGCCCCCACCCACAGGGAGGCGGGCAGAGAGCTCCTTCACAGGTGGGTGGTTTTCAGTTTCTAGGCTCCCGGTCCTATGTGAGGCCAAGGCAGACTTCCACACAAGTGCAGAGAGGACAAGGGAGGGAGCTGCTAGCACTGAGCCCGTGGTGGGAGCGCTCACCTGTGGCTGTGGGAGGCGGCGATGGGGGCTTCTGAGGGACAGTGCTCCCCGTCTTGTGTGTCTTGTGTAGTGGGTCTGGGCTCTGGTTTTCCTGCAGCTTCTTGATGAGTTTGTCAAGAGTGGCTGTCAGGGCCAGTATTGCCTGCTCCCGTTCCGACTCCTTCCTCAGGCCATCTGGGTCCAGTTCCTTCTCTGTCTGGAAGGCCCACAGAAGGTGGGGGTTAACAGTCTGGGGGACATGCCCTGTAGGAGAGAAACTGCCTTCCTTTCCTTCGTCCCGTCTTACAATCAAAGCAACAGCTCCCCCCCTGGGAGGCCCTGTCCTGCGCCTCAGACACAGGCATGTGGCATGTGCAGGGTCACAGCAGTGGGCATGGCTCACCTCCTGGATGATGTTCTCCAGCTCCCGCTCCATGCCTGCCTTAACCTCCGAGCGGAGCCGCTCTCGGTCCGAGGGAAGCAGCATCCCTTCCAGCTCCTTCTCAAACTCTCCCAATAACTGCTGCTCATCCTCATCCTCCTCCTCCTCGTCCTCTTCCTCCACAACAGCCTGGGGCTCATCACCCTTTTCCTTCAGCTCCCTTTCCCTCCGAGGGGCCTCCATGGTATCATCTCCAGGCTGCTCCTGCCCTGTGCTTGGCTTCCCCTGGGTCGGGGTGGAAGGAGATGGATAGTTTGGAGGCTTCAGTCCAAATAGGTGGGTGTAGCATAACTCAACAGCGGCAGGACATGGTAGTGGGGGCCGCAGGAAGTGCAGGACACGAGCCAGCTCTACTGGGCCCAGTTTGTTGAAATGGCCACAGCCGGGAGGCAGCCCACCCCGCCCCTGAGCAGGCTCAAACCTCTTTCAGCTCTTTCAGTTCCTCTATCAATCGAATCAAGTCTGCAGGGCTCCGGATGACTTTGACCTGCACATTGTTCTGAAGCTCTGAGAAGGGAAAGAGAGCAGGTATGGGCCTTTCGCAGTTTAAGTCTTCTCCACGCCTGAGGAGAGGCGCCATGGGCAAGGACCACAGTCCCTACCTCAGGGAGTGGCTGGATGGCAGCTGAGAGAAGGCAAAGAAACATGGATGCCAAATCACCAAGTCTCCTCCTTCAACAGGAACAGCTGAATCTTTTTCTTTTGTTTTTGTAAAACTCCAGTGTTTAGGACCGTAGAGGAGATTCAGGGTTAAGGGCTCCTTTTCACTGGGTACTGCTTTATTTGGGGGGGGGAGGTGTTCAAGATAGGATTTCTCTACAGCTTTGGAGCCTGTCCTGGAACTCTGAAGACCAGGCTTGCCTTGAACTCACAGCAATCTACCAGCCTCTGCCTCTGGAGTGCTGGGACTAAAGGCCAGCACCACCTGGTTGGACCCTGCTCTCTACAGGTACTGGGCATCTGCTCGGTTCTGGGTACTTCCATTTACCCTTCCAACTCTCTTGGCCCACATGTGATAGGTGGAAACCGTAACATTACATGACATTGCCCGGGAGTGCAGTTAGCGGTGATGGGTGGAGTCCCAGCATCCTCTGACCTCCTAAAGTGGTCCTGCTGCTCAGGAAGTAACTAATGAGTCAAAGTGGAGTGGGGGTGGGGTAGGGGATGGCTAAGTGGCAGAGCATCAGTGTGCAAGAGCCTGGGCTCAGTTCTTGGCACCGCGAGAAACGGGGGGAGGGGGGGGAGGAAGGAGTGTGGAGCTCTGAGTGTTTAGCTCTACTCTGCACCCCACCTAAGGACTAGAGGAGACAGAGTTCACTGACCATCTGGAGGGTCGGGAGCTGGATCTGCTGCAGCTTCAGGGTTCGGGTCCTGCTCCTGATGAGGGGAAAGGGCAGACTCAGGCATGGAGGCTCTATACCCCACCCCCATGCTCCTCAAGCAATACCCTTTCACCCTAGATGCAGAGGCCACCTGGTGGACTTGGCTTGAGGGACCCTGCCCATCGCAAAGCCTGAGCCCAGGCTCATCAGAGAGGCGGTCCTCACCCCTGCCTGTGCCTCCTCCCCTCCTGCAGCCTGCTTCTCTGGCTCAGGCAGCGTGTTCCAAAACTCCGAATCCTTGTGTCCCTTGGCTGGGCTGACATCTGGGGTACAGAGAACGGAGGGGACGTGAAGAGCGGGGAGAAGCGAGCAAAGCAGGAGGGGGTACCTTCCCTCTTGGGTTGCCAGTGGGTCAGAGCTCACCCACGACGGTCAGCCAGGGACAGTGAGATCGCGGGAAGCAAGGTGGTGCTGGCCAGTTCCACGGAAGGGCCGAAAGCACGCCCTACCTTCTTCCTCTGCGGGTAGACTTGCTCCAGTAGACTTGCTCTCCCCCCACACTTGGTGGCCTGGGTCTTGTGTCTCCTCTGTGATCTTCTCCTCATGCTGCTTTGACTCTACCAGAAAAACAGTGTGCAGACAGGATAGGATCCATTCCAGCACTGCATCTGCCTGTCCCACCCCCGGCTCTCTCCATCCTCACTGCCTCACTCACCGGCTTGCCTCTGGAGGTAGGCCATATATTCCTCAGGCTGCAGGGCTGGGTGACAAAGAATGGCCTGTGGGGCAGCGCTCGCGGGGGGCCGAAGGAGAGGGTGAGGGCAGAGCCGAGAAGTCCGAATGGTCAGGACGTAGGAGCAGGACAAGGGCTCATCTACTCGATCAATGTAGTCCCCAGAGATACCTGCACCCTCGTCACAAAGGAACTGTGGCAGGAAGGGAGAGCCAGTCGTAAAAACTGCCAAGCTACCTTTGGCTCACAGAGCAGCTACATCGTATTAAGCAGTTCTTATGCCAGACAGTGGGCACTGGGCATGTGTCCTGTTACACAGATTCAATTATGTGGCTGTCACAAAGACCAAGCAAGAAAGGTGTTCGTTCGCATGCCAGGCAATGACTCAGGAAGCAGAGGCAGGCGGATCTCTGAGTTCAAGGCCAGCCTGGTCTACAGAGTGAGTTCAGGACATCCAGGGCTACATAGAGAAACCCTGTCTCAAAAAGCAAAAACACTCCCCCCCCAAAAGCAAAGGCATTAGCACCCCAGCTTTGTGGCCCAAGATGTAAAAGCTTATCAAATAATACAATCATGCCACTTGCTCAGGTGGCCAGCAGGTAAGAGGCAAAAACGGGAGGGAAATTAGGCAACTTAACTGCAGGTAGTCAATCAATCTTTGTGTCACTTCTTTGCTTTGCACAAACATGGTGTGTTGGGGCTGCTGAGGTGGTGTGGTGGGCCAGGGTGCTTGAGATCAACCCTATAATTTGAGTTTGATCCCCAGTGTCCCACACAATGGAAGGAGAAAACCAACTCTTACAAATTATCCTGACACCCACATATGTGCTGTGGCATGCCCTCTCACTCAAAATAATAGTGAATTTAAAAAAAAAGCGCTCAATACTAAGATTGCAAGGATACAGAGATTAGCACGGTCCCTGAGCAAGGATGACTCGAAGTATTCCTCATTAAAAAAAAAAAAAAATGTTTAAACACAGTGGAGCAAACCTATAATCCCATCACGAAGGAGGTTAATGCAGGGCAATTGCTACGAACTCACAGCTAGCCTGGGCTACATAGCAAGTTCAAGGCCAGCCTGGCTACAGTTTGGGAAAATAATCAACCAACTGAGCTCAGAGACAGGAGTCATGTGAGCTCTTGCTGTAATCATAGCACCAGGAAGGCAGGAGAATCTGGGGTTCAAAGCTAGCCTGGGCTATAGGGTAAGATCTTACCCATAAAGGAAAAAGAAGGAAAGAAAAAGAGCATTTACACTCTAATAATAAAAAAAGATAAATAACCCAATTTAAAAATGTTAAGAGAGGCAAACAGACATTGCTTCAGGGAAGAGAAATTATCAATAAACAGATGAAAACACACTATCAAGGAAGTGTCAATCAAACACTCCACACTCACCACAAGGGCTATGGTGAGGAAGGTTACACCAAGCCCCCGCCAGGGTATTATAGACATTGAAAAACCTCACAGTCCACTGGTGGAACTGGAAAATGGTTAAACCTCAGATGGCTAAACAGAGATGAATGCAGTCCCTGGGAGGTTACTGGCCGGCCTGCACAAGGTCAACATTCATCCAGAGCACTGAGAGAAAGGGAGTCTCCACACTACACTTAACAACACTGTAAGGATAATTAAGGAAAAAAAAAAAAAAAGATGGACAAGATACTGCCCCAAGGACACATTTAAAACATAAAAACAGGTAGGAGGCTGGGGGGGTGTGTAAGAGATGAAAAATAATAAAGTAATAACGATTCAAGAAAGCTACTGTACAATATCAGTATCATACAGATAAATGCAACAGAGTGTCACTGTGACACAAAAGTCTTTGAAGATGAAATTAATTTCAACGTTCTTGCCATTGACTGAACAAAATTTTATCTGTTTACTTAAATATCACTAGCAAGTAGAAAAGTACACAGCACAGAGGGCTTCATAAATATTAGTAAACTAGATGAATAAAGAGCCCATAGATAAGTTAACTAACAACAATAATCAAGGGGCTGGAGAGATGGCTCAGAGGTTAAGAGCACTGGCTGTTCTTCCTAGAGGTTCTGAGTTCAGTTCCCAGCAACACATGGTGGCACACAGCCATCTATAGTGAGCCCTCTTCTGGAGTGAAGGCATACATGCAGGCAGAACACAGCAAATAAATACATCTTTCAGAAAATAAACAAATTGATACAACAGGAGGCAAACCAGTACAGATATAAAAGATTTAAACAACACAATTGAAAACCATGACCAGATATAGTAGGTAACACGATCACATGTTCTCTGAATGCGTGTCCAGACACTGATGTACACTGGACCATAGAACCAGACTCAACAAACCTAACAGGGCTCAAAGTTGCACTTTTCTGATTGAAACATAATGAAACAAAAAATCAATAAAAGATAAGCCTGGCTTGTCATCCCGGCACTTACAAAGTGAAGGCAAGAGAATCGGGAGATGAAGGACAGTTTGGGCCACAGGAGACAGTGTCTTAAAAAGCTCTTCATGTCCCAAACAGATATAGTGAACCTAGATACCAGAGAAAGGAGAGACTTCTGGCAGAGCTGGGCATAACTTGGTGGTAGGATTTTGTGTGCCTCACACAAGCCCTGGTTTGGTTCCTAGTGTGAGAAAGGAAGGAAGACTGGGAGTGGAGGGCGCAGCAGGGGAGGAAGGGGAGGGGAGTCTCTTCAGGAAGACATTAGAAAATGGTGGTGTAGGCAGGCGGTGGTGGCGCGCACCTTCAATCCTGGCACTCGGGAGGCAGAAGGAGGAGGACCTCTGTGAGTTCGAGACCAGAACAGCCAGGGCTACACAACGAGAACCTGTTTTAAAAATAAGTAAAGAATAAAAGAATTAAAATAAGTCAGATCATACTAAAATAGTATGCTTCATAAGAAGCATACAACATAAAACAATCTTGTCACAACACAGCATCATATTGTGGTGAGATGGAAAGGGATTTCCCCTGGGCAAGAGCAGAGGGGGTCTGAGCAGGTGAGGGTGGGGATGAGCAGGCGAGCAGTACTGCCCAGGTGTGAGAATTATGTCCCAGGAGCGATGGGGCCCAATACAGAAGCCACCAGGTGGCACCTGACCTATCTGGGAGGCAGAGGCCAGAGGGTAAGGGGTTCAAGGCCATCTTCTCCTACACAGTGAGTTTGAGGAGGGCTAGAGCAACATAAACTCTTGTCTCAAAAGCCAAGCTAAAACAAAAGCTAAAAGAAGTATATGAGACTGGAGAGATGGCTCAGCAGGTAAGAACACTGGCTGCTCTTCCAGAGGACCTGGGTTCAATTCCCAGCAAACACTTGGTGTCTCACAACCATCTGTAATGAGATCTAGTACCCTCTTCTAGCCAGCAGGGATACAACACTGTATACATAATACATACATTCATACATACATAATACATATATGTGTATATATTGAACAACTGTACATTAATAAAGCTGAAAAATCCCATGAAATGGAAAAATATCAAAAAAACATAGAAGTAAAACTAGCCCAAGTTGAAGTAGAAAATTTAAATATTTCTAGAATTAGTAAAGAAAATGAATCTGGAGCTAAGTGTGGTGACATATGAGGATGAAGCAGGAGGACTATATAGTGAGCTTGAGGCCAGCCTGGGCTACATATCTAGACCCTATATGAAAGATAAAGGAAAATGAAATCAAGGGCTGGAGGCATTGCTCAGATGGAGGCATTTGCTTGGCCTGCAAGAGTGAACACACTGGACCCTGGGTTCAATTCTCAGCTTAGGGTGGGAGCAGGAACACAGCCCAGTAGTTAAAAGTCTTCCTACAAAGAAAACCTGAGAAGAAGCACATGACAAACACCGTGAGTCTCCTCGGGAGGCAGATCTCTAAGTGAGAGGCTGGCCTGATCCACACTGCAAACTCCAGGGCTGCCAGCACTAGATAGTGAAACCCATTCAAAACAAAGCAACAAAATTGTAGGTCAAGACTTAACAGAGTAATTCTAAAAGACATTCAAGGAACAAAAAATTCTAATCATACATTGTCTTGAGAGTATAGAAAAAGTGAGACTACTTTTGAGTTTGTAAAAAATATTTTCATTTATTTACTCTGTGTGTGTGTGATGCTGTACGCATGTGGGTGGGTGGGTGAAGGTCAGAGGTCAGACTGGGGGTCGATTTTCTCTATCATGTGGGTCTGGGGGACTGAACTTAAGTTGTCAGGTTTGGCAACAAGAAATTTTAACTAAGGAACCATCTCACAGCCCTGACCTTTCTTTTCTTTTTCTTTTTTTTAATTTGTGAGGTTAGCATGCTTCTATCAACAGAATGGAAGAGAGACACACCTGGGAAGTTACAAGCAAGTAACTAGAAAGGACTATTGAATTGCTTATGAGAGTAAACATACAAAAGTCCCAATGAGATGGATCAGTGGGTAAATAAAGCATTTGTCATACACGGGTGAGTGAGCACCCCAATTGGAACCCCCAAAACCCATGAAAAGCTCCTACAACAAGATGGAAGACGAGGAGGCTCTGTGGAAGCTTGGGAGCCTGCTAGCCCCACAAGCAAAAGCATCAAAGATAACCTATTGTGGAGTGTTATGTTAACTAAGCAAAGATGTGTTACATTTGTTTAGGCTGCCTTTGTTAACAATGTAAAGATGTGTTACATTTGTTTCTATTGCACTTGTTTAATTAAGTAAAGATGTGTTACACTTGTTTCTGCTGCCTTTGTTAACAATGTAAAGATGTGTTACATTTGTTTCTGCTGTACTTGTTTAATTAAGTAAAGATACATTACACTTGTTTCTGCTGCCTTTGTTAAGGATATTAAGATGTGTTACATTTGTTGCACCTTGTCTGCCTAAGGCACCTGATTGGCCTAATAAAAAGCTGAGCAGCCAATAGCTAGGCAGGAGAGGGATAGGCAGGGCTGGCAGGCAGAGTAAACAAATAGGAGCTAGACTCCAGGCCCTGGAGGGGATCACAGGAGAAAGAGCCACACTTCACTGGCCAGAAGCCAGCCAGACAGGAGAAGCAGGAAGACATACAGAAAGAAAGGCTAAAAAGCCCCAAGGCAAAACTTAGATGAAGGGAAACAGGATAATTTAAGTTATACCAGCTAGCAAGAAATAAGAAAAGGCTTATTAGCATTCAAAACTAATAAGAAGTCTTCATGTCATGATTTGGGAGCTGGTTGGTGACTCGAAAGAAAGCCTGAT